CACCACCACCACCACCACCACCACCACCACCACCACCACCACCCCACCACAACCACAACCAGAGGCCGAGCTCTCACGTTGGCTCTATTACTTTTCCCAGGATGACCAGACGCCACTGCACATCGCGACCCTGGCAGGTAGCGGTGACATGGTGTTCCTGCTGCTCAAGCACGGCGCAGATCCCAACTTGACCACGCGCGACGACTACACGGCCCTCCACATCGCCGCGAAGGACGGCCGCGCCGACATTGTCCAGTGCCTCCTGGCCAACGGAGCCGACCCCGACGCCAGGACCAAGGTGGTTGTCTTTGAACCTGTCGTCGTTGTTGTTGTTGTTGTTGTGCGCATGTAGGCTTTTAACGCTCACCTCTCAGGAGTATATTGGAGAGGAAAGTGGGAATTGTTACGTGCACGAATTAACCTCGACTTGGGGTGGACGCCTAGAGAGCGATTTTAAGTAGACCATTCTTATTTGCTTCAATGGGAGTAGTTGCCAGATTTGTAGTGAATTTCGTTTAATCAATCTTTGGGAGAGGCGTTTAACATCTTTGGACCTAGGTCGGACTGAGGTGGAGGGGTATTTGATCATCCACGTGCGAAGGAATCGAAGTGGGACTCGATTTTGCGAACTTGTGTACATCTATCGACACGACTCACATGCGAACCGACCATTTCGACGTGTGTTTGCTCTAACCGTGTGTTTACCTATCCAAGTGTCTGCTGTGTTCAGAACTTCAAATAACAAGCGAGCCAGCAAGCCAGCTGGGAATGGATTTCGATTGGTGGTTCTCAAGGACATTGAATAGGGGTTCGTCCTGAATTTTCGAAATTGTAACATAATTGGTGGTAAAGTTTAAGTCGCGGCAAGTTCATGCTCCTGCATTTCGGCTAGTGATTAAATCCGCGTGGTTCACGTCGAGATTAGTTGTCGATAGAGCTACATTTTTAAGTGTGCACCCGGACCTACTTCTTGATGTCAACATCGAAACATCAGTGCCCCTGTAAAGCGATGGTTTTCACTAATTTCGCATGGTACTGAGGCGTGTCGTGCTTAGCGTGCCTCCACAATGATTACCACCCACGGGAGTGTTCTTCCAATGCAGACATCGACACGCTAAACCTCACAAAGACCACCTAGCATTGTTTTTTAAGTTGCCTTTCCCGCAAATTTCTAATACGAAGCCTGTTTTCGACCCGGTAAATAAGCAAGAAAAGTAGCTACAAGACTTTAACCTTGCCTTTAGCACCGCACTCACGCGCTCGACAGGCGTGTGTAGTCAGAATGTATGCCAATTTTCTCGTAAATCATGGCTTATCTGGCCAACTCCTGTCTGCCTGGCACTTTGGACAGATCCCTCTTCAGCATATTGGAGATCCAATTAAAATCCGTTGGTGAGAAGGCTAATGGTCCCCCACTAGACACTACTAGTAGGACCGTTCAGTACGTCGGTTTCGGCTACCTTGCATGTCTGGCCTTGTGTTGTCGTGTTATTCACCACAAAATGACGTCTGTTGATCGTCGTTCGGACGCAGGAAGCACTCGAATTGCAGTAGCCTTGTCGTGCACGCCCTCAAACTAAAGCTCTACTTAGAACAGATCTCCTTCTCGGTTAGTTTTCGTTAGCCCGTGGTCTGTTGGTCGTGATTGGGACACAAGGCGGCACACTGTCCGCACTCATTGCGTTCTACTGACACCGTCCCTAACACGAAGCGTTCTTTTGCTGTTGCATTTCAGCGCGGTTTCTGTCCGCTCCACCTGGCCGCGAAGAGGGGCCGTGCCGAGGCCGCACGAACCCTTCTGCAGGTCATGCGACCGGAGAACGTTAACGCTGCCGGCCGCAACGGCCTCACACCCCTCCACATGGCCGCTCACTACAACCACGTGCAGCTCGTGGAACTCCT